TAGAGCTTGGATAGAGTTATTACCTTAGCACCAGGTCCGGATCTACGAAGTTCAGATTCCTCCAGGTGGGTGTTGCTTGGATCTGGCTGCTGTGCTCCACTTCTTTCTGCTGCAGCCGTTAGAGTTGAACCCTTTGTGTCTCTCTGGCAAAATGTTCTGCTCCTGAATCAGCTGGGTGGGTCTTGCCTCTAGCCTCTTTGCAGGGAGTTCTGCTGAAAGGTTCCGTGCTGGGCCTGCGCTCTGAGTCTATTCAGGATCCCGCGGGTGCAGTTGTCTCACTTACTGGTGGGCCTGCACTCAGGGTCTATTCAGGAACCCGCCAGGCCCTGGGTCAGCTCACTCACTGGTGGGCCTGCGCTCTGGGTCTATTCAGGATCCGGAGGGCCCCAGGTCGTTTCACTCATTCACCGGGCCTGTGCTCTGGGTCTGTTCAGGATCCCGCGGCCTGGGTCATCAACAAGAAGGTTCTTGACCTTTGTGGCTCTGGGTATCCTGGGCTCCTGGAGCTCATAGGGCTTGACATAAGCTGACCTTCCCAGCTATACTAGTCATTTCCTGGCCCGCCACAATGCTGACCAGTGAGCCCCATGTACTTTCCTGGAACCCTGCACACGTAGGAGTTTTGGATCCAGGTCTAGTGCATTTTGTCAGTTAGTAAGCAGGGAGTGACAGCCATAGGGACACAGGGATAGGGTGGGCACCACAGTCGGGGAGGGGCATCTATAGCCCTGGGCAGTTGGAAGAGTTGCCTAGAACAGACATAAGGGACCGCCTGCCCACGTGGGGCCCAGTTCTGTTCACTGACTGCAGTAAATCCAGTGTGCTAGGAGGATAGCAGGGGCACAGAGTCTATGCCCAGATTCTGCTAGGCAGGCCCTGCCTGCTGGAGCTCTTGGCTCTGATGCCTCAGGCACAAACTTTCATACACCTGACCTCAACTTGGAGGCATCCCAAGTAGGTTCTGTTGCTGTCAGGGACCTGAGCCAGTGGCTATGGGCCATCCTGAAACCTGCTTTTCTGGAGTTTTATCAAGGGAAAGAGCTCTATGGCCCTGAGATGGGCTGTGGCTTTGGGGCTGTGTGGTAGTGTGGAAGCCTGGCTAGCTTGCCAGTACCCATAGTGGTGGCCATGTCTGGTGGGATAGGGGCTTAGAGAGCCCCTTGGAGGACAGAGGCTACCTTTCTGCCTAGGGAAACCCCACACTGAGAGGTCAGTGTCTCCCAGACAGGTTAGGTCCCCATCTGCTGTTGGGCCTAGGAGGGGAGTGGCTCCAACTGTAGGAGTCACTGTGTGTCCCTAGGAAAGCCTGGCTTGTGTCTGAATCAGGTCCTGGAGCCTGACCCCAAGTGAGTGGTGTGCTGGTATGTCCTCGGATGTTACTCCAACCCGTCAGTGGCCTGTGTTCAGAGCTAGGGGTGTAACAGGTATTCATGGGGAAGGGTGTGTGATACAGAGTCTATGGTGGGGCTGGGTGCTCAGGAGATATCTGGGAATAGCAGTCCTTGGTTTCCCCAGCCCTTAGTGCCTAAGTTCCTGTTGAAAGAAACATTCAGAAAGGGGTGCTCAGACAAAATATTATAGCTGCTACCGTCAGTTCCTCCTTTCCTCAGGAGATCTGGGTGTGACTCAGGTAGCCCCTGAAATAGGGCCATATACCCTTCCTTGGTCACTGGCCAGTGGTGTAGACACTGGATCCTGGTTGGCCCTAGGTGGGTCCTTGAGCTACCTGCTGTGGTATTGCAGTGACCGCTGGGGATGGACCGGCTGGGGATGCCCAGGTGGTGTTTCTCTGGTGGACAGGGCATCCAGTGGAACTGGGGCAACAGTGTGAGCACCTGATGATATGGGGGCTTTCCTCTGAGCAGCAGGACTTCTATTCCTATTGTGCCTCTTGGCCTTGCAGGCTATGAGCATCTCCAGGGTGGGTAAGACTGTAGGTCCTGGGCAAGCATCCTTGTCCCCTGCTACTGGGTGCTCACTGGGAGGAAGGGACTGTAGGGTGGAAGTGGCCATGGTAGCTGCCCCTCAACACCAGTAGGCAGGCAGAGCTGGGTGCTCCCCACAAGTCATTTTGGACAAGCTACAGGTCCTAGAGGGAAGCCCCAGGCCACAGTGGCCTGTGCTTCAGTGAGTGTTAGATCTCCCTCTGCTGGCTGGCTGGGCTAGGCTTTCTTTGATGCAGGCAACACAAATTCAAAATTTTTTAAAAATGTAATTCACTCTCAGTGACAATGGAGGAGGACATGGGGTTGTCTGGATTGGCATGGTGGTCATGCAAGGGCACTCTCAAGGCCTAGCAGGTGGGCCTATGACATCCATGCTCCTAAGAAGGGCAGCCACAGTGCCCAGGTAGGAAGCTGAACACCACTTACTTGAGTTCATCCTGGATTCTCCTGGAGGCTCCCTGCGCAAGCTTACTGGCCTTACAATAGAGAAGAAATTAGCTGGGGCTATAGCTCAGTTATTAAAGGTGCCTGGCAAGTTCAAGGTCCTGAGTTTTGAATTCCGGTGCCAAAAAAAGAAAAAGAAAACAGTGACAGAGAGACAGAGATGAGAGAGGGGAGAAGGGAGAGAGGCGAGGGGGTAGGGGGGAAGGGGAAGGAAGAGAAAGGAAAGGGGAGAAGGGGGAGGGCATATGAGAGAGGAGAGAGGGGAGAGGACAGAGATCTGCTGTCTTTATGGCAGGAAGCTGCTGCCAGCCAGGTCAGTCAGCCACCTTCCTGGCTGTGAACCAGTATATGTGGTAGCAAGTGTTCAAGATTAAGAGATGTTTAAGTCTGCTCTAAGGGGAGCATTCCTTTCCTTTTGCATCCAGGACTTTCTGTTTATTTTTATAAATTTAAACTCTGAGTCTGTCCTTCTATAGATGAGAGCAGGCCAGGCCAGCCAGCATAGTGTGCTGTGTTCTGGGTTGTGGCTCTTATGTCCCCCTCAAGTAGGGAGTAGGCTTGCAGGGTGGTGGGCATGGCTGCAATAGGGTCAGGTGGCCTGCTGGGCACATCCCAGGCCTCTGCCCAATGTGAGGTTTCAGGGCTGCTCCTGCCTGAGTTGGCTCTTGATGGACCAGCAGATGGCCAGTGTGTGCTAGGGTTTAATGAACCTGAGCTGGGTGGTAACAGTGTGTGTTTGAGGAAGGGCTTTATGTGGAACAAAGGGAGGGCCACGTAAGTGGCAGGTAAGTCCCACAGGGCTCTTATCAGATGGGTTAAACCCTAACTATATTGGGCTATAAAACATCCTTCTCCTCTCAGGTGCAGGCTCTGAAGCCACCTTCCTGGAGCTACTGTCCAACAGCCATAGCCCCTCGGTCTCTTGGGACCTGACTCAGGGTGGCCCTGTGCAGATGGTGAGGAGCTGTTTCCTCGCACTCAGAGGAGGCACCAGCAGGGACCTGTCACTGCTGGCCACTTGCTCTTTTCCATCTGTCCCTGCCAGCCCTGGACCTGAGCATTCACAGCGATTTGTCCATTGAATTGTAATGCCCACAAAGCCCCTTGGCCCATGATGGCCCAGGGAGCCTCCTCCAGGCTGCTCTGAACTGTGTTCAGAGGACTTGGGGGTAAAGAGGAGGTCAGGCCTGCAGGATGGAAATATGGCTAGAGGGAAGCCTTGCAGGGTAAGGTGGGGTGCTGCACTGGGGTTCTGACCTGTTGCACATGCACTGATGGAACTGATCCACATTCTCAGTATGGAAGACAGGAGAGCAGATGGGACAGGAGGACACTGGCAAAGCTGTGGCCTCCACCTGGACACATGGCTGGGCCTTGGGGATGATTCTTTTGTATGCATAGCCCAGCTCTGGCCCCTGAGAAGGCCGAGGAGCACCCCAGCACCAAGACCCAGAATCTTCTGTGGGAGTTTTGCCCAAATGCAAGCCCCTTGCATTGGGAATGTGAGGTCAGCAAGTCGTGGTCAGCACCTGCTTGCTGCTCCTGCTCTCCATCCTGGGTGGATATGTGTGCCCCACCCTGTCCGATACCTGCCTCTGCCCACTGTCAGCCAACCAGTTGCTGGCAGGGTTAGGCTAGCACCTATGTCTTTCTGGGAAGGGGTGGGGTAGAAGACAGAAACTGTGTTCCTTAGCAGGGTGCCAATCCATCACTGGGTTCAACACTGTGACTTCCTCTAGCCCTTGTCACCTCACAGGGTCACTCTCACATGCTGCCTACCATTTGGTGCTCTAAGGTGGGTTTCAGTATTCTGTGTAATCATGGTGTCCAGGGCTTTCAAGCTTGTTCCTGGCCTATGTCTTTGCCTTGCTTTTGTGTTCCTGGTCCTGGGCAAAGATGAGCCCGAACCTGGGGTATATCCATGTGACAGGCCCAGGGCCAGGATGAGGGAGGGCTGTGTGGGCCTTCTTGACACTGAGGTCCCTCCATAGGCCCCTCCGGACCATTTTCCTCCTTTTGATGTTGATTGTGCTCCTGCTGGTTGGCGTCCTTCATGTGCATGTTAAGCTGTTCCTGCCGTGAGTCCAGCATGGGGTCTCTGTGGTGTCCCTGGAGGATTCCCCAACTTAGCAACCCTGAGGGCAGAGATGGGACTTCATCTTGACCACCCTGGGGCACCAGCACCTGCTGGCAGCCTGTGGAAAGTCACATGTCCCCATTAAGCTTCATATCACCTCCTGGAGAGGCAAGGGGCCTTCCTGTGGGGACCTGTTAGTATCCAGGCCCTTGAAGAGGTAGCCTGGCCTCTAAGGTGGGGCCTGGGAGGGTAAAGGTCACACCTGTGCCCTCTCACTGCCAGCATCCCCCCAGTAATCTTCCCTAACTGGTGGCACAACTTCTGGCAAGAACCCCCATTTCTGAATGAGTATCTACCCATCCTTTGGTTCCTGGGTCAGTGCAGGGCACTGGAACCTGCCCTCTGGGCACTGGGGCAGGGAGGGCCCACTACATGTCTCCTCTGGCTCTGTGTTGGGCTGGCTTTACTTCAGGACCCCTCTGTGTCTAGGGTGAAGTGTTGGGGTCAGCCAGGGAATGATAGATGTGTGGCTGAGGTCACTGGGCCAGTGCAACATGGGTGCCCTGATTGCCAGAAAGCAGGTTGCAAGTCTGAGGGGGCTTGAGCCTACATCGTGGGTGAGAACTCTTCTGTCCCAGTGGGTGCCCTGGACTATAAGGTGAAAGGGGCTGCAGACAAGGGCCACATTGACAGGGTTGGGGTTGGGGACTCAGGTTGGGGGTGTGGAGAGGAGGGCTGTAAGGGCAGGGCTCTGTGGAAGGCACACTGCCAGGGACAAGCCTTCCTGTGTCTTTCCTCTCAGCCAGCTTAGGGCTGAGGTGGAGGGGCCACCTGTCACCAACATCATGTTCCTCAAGACACATAAGACAGCCAGTAGCACAGTGCTCAACATCCTCTACCGTTTTGCTGAGATGCACAACCTGTCTGTGGCGCTGCCTATGGGTCCCAACATCCACCTGGGTTACCCCTGGCTCTTCCTGGCAAGATATGTGGAGGATGCCCTGCAGGCTGGGTCTCCCCGACAATTCAACATCATGTGCAACCACCTGCGGTTCAACCTGCCTGAGGTGAGGTCCTGGGGCTGGGGAAGGGACTACAGGCTCAGGGTGGCAGTCCAGGAAATGGAGCAGGGTTCTGAGCTCTAGGCTGCAAGGGGCCTGCAGTTGCTCTTGGAATGAGATCAGGCAGCCTGCAGTCCTCTGCCTGGCATCTGCAGCCCTGTCCAGTTCCTTGGCCTGCAGTTTTTTTCTGCTTCGGACTTCGATACATGGCACTCTGGTGAGGACCTCACAGATGTCCCTCGAGGTCATCTGGGTCTCTACTGAGGAGGCAGCTCCTCTCAGAGGCTCCCCAGATTTTCCTTCCAAACAGAAGTGTGTGTGTGTGTGTGTGTGTGTGTGTGTGTGTGTGTGTGTAGATAGGTGTGGCTTAGCATACACGTGGCCTAGAACACAGGCTTTCTGTGTGAGGGACAGAAAGGTGCCAAAGACTGGGCAGGCTTGGGTGGGTAAAGGCAGTGGTGGGAGGGCAGCACATGGCTATGCTGGAGGGCAAAGGTGGCTCAACTGTCTCCTGGACTGCCGCTCCAGTGGGTGACATGTGATCCTTATGGGGCTCAGGAGAGAGAGGGGAGCTTAGATCCCCCCACAGAGGAAGCAGGCTGCCTAGGAGATGGGTGGTGCGGCCTTCCTGTGGCAATGTGACTGGCTGGCTGGTGGCCCCTGGGCACGCGGTGCCAGGAGGGTGGGCTCTGTGTTCCCAGGAGTTGTCACCTCCATGAGCTTGCAGCACCTCCAGCTCTGTCTTCGCAGGTGCAGAAGGTCATGCCCAAAGGCACCTTTTACTTCTCCATCCTGCGTCACCCGGTGACCCAGCTTGAATCCTCCTTCATTTACTACAAAAATGTAGCACCTGCCTTCCGCGCTGTGCAAAGCCTGGACACCTTCCTGGAGGCGCCTCACCGCTTCTACAAGGCGGGGCTGGAGAACGTGTACGCGCGCAACAACATGTGGTTTGACCTGGGCTTCGATGGAGATGCGCCGGCCGAGGATGACTACGTGCGCGAGCACCTGGAGGAGGTGGAGCGGCGCTTCCAGCTGGTGCTCATCGCCGAGCACTTCGACGAGTCCATGGTGCTGCTGCGACACCGCCTGAGCTGGCATCTGGATGACGTCGTGGCCTTCCGGCTGAACGCGCGCAACCCGCGCAGCGTGTCGCGCCTGTCACCTCTGGGCCAGGAGCGCGCTTTGAGCTGGAGCGCCCTGGACTGGCGCCTATACCTGCACTTCAACCGCACCTTCTGGGCCCAGGTGCACGCTGAGCTGGGCCCACGCCGTCTGCGCGCCGAGGTGGAGCAGCTGCGCACGCGCCGCCAGGAGCTTCAGACCCTGTGCCTGCAGAACGGGCCGCCCCGCAGTGGGGCGAGCATCGCAGACCCGCAATTGCGACCCTACCAGTCTGGTGACGCAGACATCCTGGGCTATGTCCTGCGACCGGGCCTGGACGACGCCACGCTGCACCTGTGCCAGAGGATGGTGATGCCCGAAATTCAGTACATGGCCCGCTTGTACTCGCTGCAGTTCCCCCAGAAGCCCCCCAAAAGAATCCCCTTCCTGGAGCACTAGGGTCCATGGGCGCCTCCCCTCCACCCCCTTCCCTAGAAAAGTCTTTGCCATGGCAAGAAGAAGAGCTACAGACCCACAGGCCGACCCACTGGGGCACAGTCCACGCAGCCCGAGGTGGGGACTCCTTCCAGGCGACAAGTGCCCTCCCCAACCCAAGCAGACTAGGCTGTGGTCCCAAAGGACCTCAGAGATGGTCCTTGAGCGTCCTTGCCCAAAGTGGCACTGGATCCTGGGGACAAGCCTGTGACTGCCTTTAGAGCTGGGCCAGGGGTTGTGCTTGGCAGCATGGTGAGCAGTTTATTTCTGACTGAGAACAGTTCAGTTTGAGAAATGATGTCAAACTGCTCCAGAGACCAAGGGTTCAGCTTGAGCCCAGGCTGAAGGAGCTCCACATTCCACTCTAGCGCTGGCCTGAGGGATTTGGGCAGGAGGAAACCTCAACAGCCAGGAAGCTGGGCATGGTCTGCCAGACCATGTCTGGTGGGGCCCATTTCCTTTGTTATGCACAAAGAAACCTGCCCCTGTCTAGCAGGACGTGGTCCCAGACTGTCTGGGGCCCAGTGAATGAGTGGGGGCCACACACCTGTTATTACATGCCCTGGGAAAAGTGGGGTACCTGGAGTGCCCAGGAAATGTCTCACATATAGAGCCCAGAGGCTCAGCCAGAGCCTGTTTGCTTGGGAGGAGGGTTCCTTCTGTCATTCAGGAGTTCAGCTGGGAAGACCTCACATTCCCCATGTACCTGCTGTGGGTGAAGCATGTCCAGGTGGTCCTCTTTTTTCTCAGGGGAATCAGCATTTAACAGAAAGGGGGGATGCCCAAGCACTCAGAATAGGGAGCTCCCTGGGACAGTTTGAGAACATTTCCAGTAAAATTAGAGGTGTCACAATGAATGTGAGAGTAAGAGAGAATATTTGGAAATTTGCACAGTGACTTGCAAACAAACCTGAAAAGAGTTAGAGATAGCGAAGAAGACAGGCGCTTGCTGAGAGCCAGGGTCCTCAGACTACGCAGAGTCACCAGACAGCCCGAGGAAGATGTGGTGAAAATCCCTGGGGAAAGTGGGGGTGGAAGTCATATCCAGATGAGCCCATGGATAAGTAACGAGAGTCCCTGCAAAGAGGAAAGGTGAGAGAAGAATGGGAGAAATTGCCACATGTTGAGGGAAGAGGGGCTTTTCAGCACAAGTTCTGTGTGAGTACCAGCTGAGGTCCGCAGGTCCCTCAGAGAGTGCAGGTGGGTGTGAGAACCCAGAGTAATGAGGCACACCATGGCCCCATAAACAGAACAGGTGTCTGCAGCCCTGCCTGTGCCCAGCCACATGTGCAACACTGCTTTCAGCTGCATAGCAGTTGTGGAATTGAAGTAACAACAGCAATATCAACAATAGCAATTTATCGTCACTTTGCTTTTCCTTCAAGGTTGGTGGAATGTAAACTGTTACCATCATTTTGGAGAGAAATTTGGGGCTATTTACTACAATGTAAAAATGGCTGTGGCTTATGATAGGGAATTCTGGAAACCATCTGTTCAAATTATCCATTAGATAGGAATGTTTAAAATGAGGCTGTACTGTGAAGTCAATAAAAGCTGAACTCAGAGTGTGACTTAAACTTTTTTTGGGGTACATTTTCAATTCTCCTCTATGATGGTGGTGGGTTCAACACCAGCCCAAGTGCCAGTGCCCTAAGAGGTTGGTATGACTCAGGACTAGATCACAGACTCTAGCTTATTAAGGAAGGACCAGCAGGAGAAAGTGGCCCTTCTGAGGCATTTACACCAATGGGGAGAGTCCTTAAGCGAGGCCAGAACTCTGACATGGCCATAGGCAGTGGGGTGACTGGCAGAGGTGGGTGGAGGCTGGGGCAGGAGTGTAAGACACAATGGAGGAATGGTGTAGCCTGGATGCCCGTGCAGGGCACAGTGCCCAGTGGAGGTGGAAGTAGCCTAAGATACAGATGTCCTGACTTTTTAAAGAGAAGCTGGGACTACAGATCCTTATGTAAAACCTGCAAGTTGGAAAAAGCCTTGTATGAGTCAGGCACTTTTCAGGGATGTGAGGTAATCATGTGGAGTGTCCTTCCTTGAGAACGTCCCTGCTGTACTTGTTTACATCAGGCTGACAGGAGTGATTCCATCGTGGTCCTGACAGCTTTCTTTCCTCCTTCCCACCAACACTGCTTTGAAAACATTGCTGATTATCCACTTTGTAGTTAGGCTTGATTGTCCCCTACTGCTAAGATGGACTTGTGCCTGTTTTTTTTTTTTAAAAAAAAAACCATTTGTTAGCATTTTAATGAGCCCCCTGTCCAGTGGCTTCAAGCTACCAGTACACAGGCCCCCCAACACCCTTAATCTTCTCAGCTCTTCTGCTGAAGAATTTGGCTTTCACGATGACAGGCTGCTTTGGGAGCTTTCCCTTCCCAAGAACTTTGTAGTAGCCAAAAGTATCAGACTACATCAATGATGGGAGCTGCTCCAGTCTTGTTTTTGGCAGCATTTCCTCGTGTCTGCTCACTGACCAATGTCCACAATTCATCAAGGTTGGCAGTTGGGCAGAAGCTCTGATTTCTCTTCAAGTGGCAATGCCTCATACCAACCTTCCCAAAGTAATCTGGGTGATATTTGTCGAAGTTGATCCTGTGATGATGTATGCCACCAGCATTACCAGCATTACCCCAGCCTCCGGGGTGCTTCTGGTGCTTGCCAATGCGGCCATGGCCGTGGCTCTCATGGCCCCGAAGCTTCCGGGTCTTCTTTAGTCTGGAGGGCATGTTGGCGGCTGAGAGGAAAGCTTGTGCCTGTCAACTCTTTTGGCCTCACTTTGGGGCAAATTAGTGGCTGCTAGGAGTCAGTGTCAAAACCGTTTAGCCACATTTGAGCAATAAGAATGTTGGCAGAGTGGCTCT